AAAAGTAATATAGAAAAAATGGAAAATATAAAATAATTTTCACTTCTGGAAAATGTATATCAACTTAAAAATGTTTTGTATACTTTTTAGTTTTATTTTAAACCTGGGATCCTTGCCTATCTTTTCTATACGTATAATGCAATGTGTTAGACAAGGTAACTACAGTTTCCTAATTGATATTTGTTCAAGATTAATTCTGGGACATGTACACATGTTTCCCATTGAATCTCTTAAAGCATTCAATTACTTAATAACACACAACTGTGTCTGAAGTTGTACTAGCTTAAAAGGAAAGAAGAAAAAAGGCCCAAAATAGCAGTTTCAACAACAAGTCTGCAGTCACTGAAGCAAGGAAGCCTCATGTTCGCTTCCAGCTGCCTGGCTGCCGGCCGCCATCTTGGCTGACAGTTAATTTGCATAAGGATATGCTGATTAGCCAATGGGAAGGGTAGCGGTCGTACGCCAATTAACATGTTTCTCTTTTATTAGTGTAGATGTTTCTATGTTCTAGTGACCCAAGTGGAATTTACATGGTGTCAGTTTGGCTATTATGCTTTTTTAGTTTATTTATAATTTTCCTTATGTTAGCTACCTCAATTTTTCATATATATATGTTTACATCCATGTGCACATACACACATGATATTGGTGTACACACATATATGTTATGTATTTCTTTTTCTCTTCATTTCTATAACTTTTTCTTTGGTGTTTGGTGGGGGAGTGGAGGTAATTTACTGCATTTAAGTTGTCTGCAAACAGCAGTTAGGCTGCTTGTTTTCAAACTGTATTATATTGAATACTAAGATTACATTAGTTTCTAATAGATATCTCCTAAAAATATTTTATGGCCCTAGCTGGTTTGGCTCAGTGGATAGAGCATTGGCCTGTGGACTGAAGGGTCCTGGTTCAATTCCCAGTCAGGGCACATACCCGGGTTGAGGGCTCGATCCCTAGTGTGGGACGTATAAGAGGCAGCTGATTAGTGATTCTCTCTCATCATTCACATTTCTATCTCTCTCTCCCTACCTCTTCCTCTCTGAAATCAATAAAAATTTAAAAAATTGTTACAGTCAAATAAATCTTAAAATATATTTTATACCTCCTTTTTTATTGATTAAGGTATTACATATGTGTCCTTATACCCCCCCCCCCATAAACCC